TATTTTTCTATGTTATGTTCATGTTTATGTTCATAAACTTTTTATTTAATAAAATATGTTTTCATAGTTTGTGTTGTCCCTTATTATCAATGCAAAATGGTCACTAACTAAAGAGGATTTATGCTGATATTGCCCAAAAACCCTATTTTGTTCAGGCGTTTCCAAACTTTTGGAGGGCAGTGTATATATATATATACACTGTCAGGTTTTATTAATCAGATATACTTTCTAATTCTAGCTTTGTCTCTGTGTAACACCGAGAATTAACGCGGCAAGTTTAATTAACTAATATTTCCCAATTAGAACTGTAAATGTTTAGTTCTTCAGCGGCATTCAGACAGTAGTTATTATTTTTGTTTTTATTATTTAATCTTTACGTCACACAACCTGAAGATTTGTTGCAGACACAAATAAACTATATGGCAGTAAGTCTGTGTTATTATTTCTCATCTCAGTTACACACTAGGCTTTACTCTTGAAGTGCACCTAGAAAAGTGGTTTCATTCAGCGTCATCCATAATTCATTCTTTCACACTAGACCACACAGAGAACTGGATTACCTGGTATTGGTGGAAAGAAGGTTTCCCCACAAATATTACAATATATTACAACTGAAATGGCTTTTTCCTTGAACTCAACAAGTTTCATCCATATGCTTTTATAATTAAGAAACAGGGGAAACCAATTATACTGTCACCCTTGGAAATTAGTTCCCCAGTATATTCCAACTAATGTACGATTAAAATAGTACAGCAATGCTAGTACTGTGTACGTTTTATCAACTCAACTATTTATCACACTTCACCCACAGATCATTCGTTTCCACTGAGACCACGGGGGGAACAGATTTACCTGGAGGCCTGAGAAAAGTGGTTCCCCCCACTTTATATTACAGTGTGATGATTTATAAAGCACTATAGCGATGCTGGTGATGTATTTTACAGTCATCATGATGTATAACAATTTTCATCTATAGAACACTATCTATTACACTGAGAACACGGGGGAACAGATTTACCTCGAGGCCTGAGAAAAATGGTTCCCTCCTGTATATTACAGTGTGAGGATTTATAATGCACAGCTGTGATGCTGGTGATATATTTAAGTATTATCATTATGTATAACAAGTTTCATCTATAGAACCGGCTCTTACACTGAGAACACAGGGGAACAGACTTACCTGGACCTCCTCTCCATCCACAGGTGTCACTCGACCATACCTTCCCAGCCACACAGGCAAACTACAGGTACAAATAAGCTTCAAATGTAAGAACAAAATATTTTATTGGCAAATCAAGAATTAAACTAAATTATGCATATACCACAATTATGCAAATATATGTAATAAATAACCAGCCAAATGTAAAACTAAACTTAAATTCTTCAAACATAAACATGTTACTAACATAATAAAAAAAACTTTTTTAAATAAACTAAATAAAATGTGACTCATTGTGCATGGTGCCCTGAGATTGACCAGTGTCCCATCCACAATGTACTTCTGCCTCATGTCCAGTGTTCCCAGAATCCTCTGGATACACCACAACCATGACCAGAATAAAGTAGTTACTGAATAGAAATGAATGAATAAATTGATTTATTATATACTTTTTAATTAAAATACAATTTTTATAAAATAAAACAAGATAGACACCGTTTTGAAAAATACTGTCCCAGTTAACCTTGGTCTATTCTTCAGTACATGCTGAGCAATAAAAATCTTCCTCTGCTGGTGGGTTGCCAACACATGACAGGTGGTACCACCTGTCACATCCAACACAGGCAATCTAAATGATCATACAATGTTTCAAATCATCATTAAATGTCACAAAAAATTTTATGGCTATGTTAGGTTAGACTGTTACAAGTTTAGCTGTAATATCATGGGGCAGTGAAAAGGCCAATAAAATTTTTAATTAAGAAACTTTTAAAATAAAAATGTCCCATTACTCAACACTGGATCACTTGGGTTGATGTCTTCCGCACAGAAGTGACATAGATCATTCAAATCTTCTACAAAAGTGTATAGAGTATAAATCATGTATAAATCTGTTATAATAATTTATAATTGTTTATTCTCTTGTCCCTTGGAGTATCCTTTTGAGACTGGATTAATTATATATGTAACTACAACCTTTTACATCTACCCCTCAACAGCACTCATAATAAAAACATTAACTGTTTTGAAACCTATCCCAATTAATTATCAATTAACTCTAACAAGAGTTGCAAGAAAAAGGTTGGAAAAAAAAACCAATTACATAGATTACTGCATTAGCTGCATGATCTCTTAAGTCACAGTAACATATACACTGCCCTCCAAAAGTTTGGAAACGCCTGAACAAAATAGGGTTTTTGGGCAATATCAGCATAAATCCTCTTTAGTTAGTGACCATTTTGCATTGATAATAAGGGACAACACAAACTATGAAAACATATTTTATTAAATAAAAAGTTTATGAACATAAACATGAACATAACATAGAAAAATACTCAA